CTAATCTATACTAGCTGTGCACCTGACATGCATATTAGTTTTCTGTTTCAAGACAAACACAACTGGAATTCTGCAGAGACCAAAAGAGAAATAGTGAAACACATCCTTCTCATCAAAAAAAACAGGCAAGACAAATAATCCCATATCAACAACCTAGCAAACCTGTTTCTTACAAAATACATGTTAAAAAAGAGCTGAGAAGGAGATGCTAACCACAGGAGATATGAAATGAGAATTTAAGTAATAGGTGCCATACATTTTTCTAGCTTCAGTCCTTCAGTAGTAGGTGCTTTTCTACTCTACTACCTGCAGTCTGGAAAAAATCTGTTGCTGTAAAACAAACATTTATTTCTTTTCCTCCTAATTCTTTGTTATTTGTACTGTACTGTTGCATCTGCTGGAACACTCTCTTCTAACATCCATGCAAATTATAATTTGGGCTGGCTTCATGACTGTGCAGGTGAGTGTCACAGCAAGTGCTAGATGAATATGTATGGTGTGTCAGTGTGTGCGCATGATGAGCGCAATATACCTTAACCAACATAAAAGAGAAGTAATCCTACTAAGAAATACTAAAAAATAAAGATCAGTACATGCACATATTGGTTTCCATATTTGAATTAACATACCTAAGTGTGATACTGAGTTTTACTTTGGCTGTGCTTAGGCTTGTTCACAGCCCCTGACAAGATATATATGAACCCTTTAACAACTACAGAGAGTCTGACCTGAGATTTTCTACCATAGCATGTATGCATATACATGTGGTTGCTCGTTCACCCGCTTTTTTTTCCAGGCTGTAGTTAAAGTTCCATAAGCGTTGTAGTCACAGGATACACGATGTGATCTGTGCGACTTTGTCCAGCGGATAGTGTAGGAGGCAAGGGGTGTAAAGAGCATGGCTATGCATTCCCTCCCTGGGGAATCTGGGAGGACTGTTTTGCCATGACCTTGGTCTGTTTTTTCTCTACATTCTTTGCTGTCCCCAAGCTGTGAGGCTGATGTGTTTGGACAAACTCATTTTGTTAAGTGGAAATCCCCTTAGAAAACTAGGAATAGAAATTGATGGGAACTCTACATGATTAAGTGTTCAGTGAATTTTTTCTGCAACCTATGATAAATTTACTTAGGAGCAAAGTCTAATAAGTATTTTGATTATCTGCTTCATATGCTTTCAGCTGGAGTGGTCTGAATTCTTTCTATAGTTACTATGACACGATAGCTAACAGTCTGGCTTGGCCAACGTGTTAAGCTGTATTTGCAAAAAGAATACATCAATGGTTTTCCTTTGCCAGAGGTTTTGTTTTCAGTTTTAAATAGCTATTGTAAGAGAATCTTAAATATGTTCCATTTTGCTCTCTTTTTTTAAAGAGGAGAAAGAAGCTGAAGACATTTTCAAGGGAGTAGAGAGAGAAACAGAGGAAAGTGCCAGTTCATTTCTGTGTAATTCTTAAGCCAATGAAAGACTATGCTAGCCTGTAGTAGAAGTAGAGCTTCAGTACAACCTACAGTAGGAGAAAGAGCTGTATTTTTTAAAAGCAACAGGCTCAGCACTATTTCTGTGTTGAGGGGACACATGTAGTCACCTGCTTGTCCTGTGAAAACACCAATCTGGTGGAAAGCAAAAAAATGTATTATAAAGTGGTCACTGAAGAAAACGTAGTTTCGTTATGTTTGAGTCACAGGTACAAACCTTTTGGTGCTGTTTTGCCTCAATGGCTCAATGAATTGACACCAAGGACGACACCAAGGACAACACAAGAGCGTTGTACATTCCCATCAGATACCATCCCTCAGTTGGGGGGCACCAGCCCCCATGAAATGCCACCCCCATCCCTGTTAAACAAAAAAGCTTGGAATGAGCAGCAGTAAACTGTTCTCCAGATGTTTATCTCTTCGGTTTACATTCCTTCTTTTGTGTGTGAAACAATTACCTGCCATGTACAGTATTTGATTTAAACCCAGGTCCTGCTGAAGGAAGTAATAACTGAGAAATTGAGGAAGGAAGTTCATTTCAGCTGAAGTTTGTTTCAGTTTGGTTGAGGAGATGCAACCTGCAGCAACATTTCTTTCCAAATTTAGGACAGCTGAGAGTGTGGTGGAAGCCTGAGTTTTATTGGGTCACTCTAATACTTCAGTCAAGAAGTGGAATTATGTGCCAGGCAGGGAATGGAAAGCTGCAATATTTTAGGGGTGAAGCCAGGGCCAAAATACTTTGTGGTAACTTGCTCCAGTGCAAGAGTGCCTCTTATTTGTCTCTCAGTGAAGTTGTGTGTAATAAATTTCCTACTGATGCTGTATCAGCAAGTAATTGCTTTTACTGTATCTTAAAAGCTTTTCATACTTTAAGTTCTTCAGTGCTCTTTACATTTTATGTATTGCTTTGAGTAACTTTCCTTCACACTTAAACCCCCTCCTGCTTCTAGCCTTACTGAAAGTGGACCCTACATAAGAAAATTACTCCTGTGCTTAGAAGAGGTTTGCCAGCTAAACACGTCATTCCCAGATATATAGCTCAATAACTGCATCCTTATACCTTTAAAACAGATCATGAGTCATGTACAATTGTAGCATTTTCAGATGAAAGTCTCTCGCTCCCTTTCCTCTCCATATTGCTTCCCTCCCCCTTCCTCAGAAGGGAAGAGAAAATGGGATGTGGGGAGGTTTGTGGATTTATTTAAAGCTATGTAAAACATAATATTCAGCTGTTGTGTGGGGAAGCATATCCAGCTATATAATTTATAGATCAATTCTGGCAGGAGTTTTCTCAACTATATACTCCAGATCTAGCCATTCCATTGGTTACAGTTCTGTTTTATATCAGTATTACATTCTTACGCTGTCTGCAGTGTTAAGCACAAGTGATTTTATTTCTGAATGCTTTTTAGAAAACATATTTTTAGCTTAATCTATTTCCTTGCTGCATAGTGATTTAAGAGGTATTCGATCCATTTCTTTAATTTTTGGCTGGGAAGAGGCTTTTGGGATTGTTCAGAGAAAGGTCATACAGTTAAAAGCAACAATAAGTCTCAAAGACACAGAAAGAGGATCATTCCTTAAGGGAAGCAATTCAATGTGAATACTTCCTTGTATTTGTTAAAAAAACCTACTTTTTTGTAGGCAGTGTCCAGCTGTTTTGAATGAACTTCTTGGGTTATGTTGGTTTTCTGTTTTCCTTTTCTTTAAGCTGCCTTAGTGCAAAGAGAAAACTTTTTCCATTTTGTAAAGTGACCAGAGGCTAGTCTAAACATGCAAGAAAAGAGTTTTAAAAGCACACATGAGACTCATCAGAAAATCACAAGTAAGATTCTAGCCACCCAGGTGCTGATTTTTTTTGTATTATTATTTTTATTTTTTAGATTTTTCTTATCTGCAGCCAAAAAGCAGAGGGTTTGTGGAATCTTGTTTAAGAGAGCGGTAGAATTCCCAGTGACATTAATAGAAACAGGTTCAGGCCTTCTGTATTAAATTGTTGTATCTTATGCAGCACTGTGGGTGGCTTGCTTGGAAGAAAGTTTGCAATTGAATTTACAGTACTAACACTAACTCAGCAGTGGAGCAGATGTTTTATTTTCTGTTTATTTGCTACATTCTTCAATTCAAGCCTTGGTGCTTTGGCCAAAAGCTTAATATGTGCATCTAAAATGCTTGTGTCTTAGTCTGTCAAGTAACTGCAAGCAGTTAAGATCTTCAGCATGAAGTATAATTATTGTCATTTCATTGATCACCTGATATACTGTCCTGGTTTCGGCTGGGATAGAGTTAATTTTCTTCATAGTAGCTAGCATAGTGCTGTGTTTTGGATTTAGCACCAGAAGAATGTTGATAACACACTGATGTTTTCAGCTGTTGCCAAGTAGTGCTCAGACTACTCAAGGACTTTTTGAGCTTCTCCTGCTCAGCCAGGTGCATAACAAGCTGGGAGTACAGCACAGCTAGGACAGCTAACCCAAACTGTCCAAAGAGCTATTCCATACCATATAACGTCATGCTCGGGGGGGGGGTTAGTCGGTCGGTCTGTCGCAGGGAGACTGATCGCGGCTCGGGGAGTGATCGCGGCTCGGGACGGGCTGGGCATTGGTCAGTGGGTGGTGAGCAATTGCATTGTGCATCATTTGTTTTGTATATTCTGTATATTCTGTTATCATTCTCACTATTACTATTATTATTATTTTCTCTTATTAAACTGTCTTTATCTCAGCCCTTGGCTCTAACCTTTTTTTTTCTTCCCCACTGAGGGAGGGGGGAGTGAGCGAGTGGCTGCATGGTGCTTAGTTGCCAGCCAGGTTAAACCACAACAGTCCTTTTCCAACGTGGGGCACGAGCCAAAACACAGCACTATGCTAGATACTATGAAGAAAATTAACTCTATCCCAGCTGAAACCAGGACATATACCCAAGGCATATCAAGGCAAACCTAAAAAAGAACATCTTGAAAAGTTGCAGGAAATAATTGATCAAGAGGTTACAGTATGCAGGACACATTGGAATTTGTGTAGCCTGAAGTAGAAAGATCCTTTTTCCTTTCAAGCCTTTTTGCAAACCTCTAACAGTATTTGGTGAGGAATTCAGAACTTGGGTTAACTTTCTTTGAGTCTTCAGTATTGTAGGAGCCATTGTGTAAGTTACAGATGGTTATTTAAAGGTATTGCCTGTCTTAGATAATTGACTTTTTTACAAATCAGCATGATTAAATCAGTTAATCAGCTTATTGCTGTGTGTTTATTGTCTTATTGTGCTTTGAATTGTTACTGTGGTCTTCTGCATAAGAAGGCAGCCTCCATCCTATCATCGCTTACTAGACTTTTCAGTGGTACCACACTTTTCAGCAGTACCACACTTTTCAGCTAAAGCGGCAGCTAATACGATGGGATGGTGAGTGAGGGGTCAGTGTGGATGGTACAGGTGCAAGCATGCCCACCTAGCCAAGCAGCAAGTAGCTGGCATGGTCCTGGGATGTCCCCTCCTTTCTGGGAGGCTCCGGCTGATGCAGGGGGTGAATGGGGGAAGCAGCTCTCCTGGTGTTGACGCTGGGTGAGTGACACTCAAGCCGGCTGCAGGGTAGGGAGGCTGATCAGGAGCTCTGCTACCGGGGGTTCCAAGCATGAGCCCAGGGGACAGTATTTCTGGGGCAGAAAGTTGGCAAAAAGACATTTGTCCTGCATTCAAGTCTATGCAATGTGTCTAAGACCTGAGAGATTGATACAATGTCTGCTGAGTGCCTTCGGAGCCAGCGTAGGGCTGACAAAGCCGTGCTAATGCGTAGCTAGTGGAACTTTATGAACCCAAGTGAATATATTGAAGTAAAATATCCTGTGGTACATTACGCAGGCTTTTCTATTACCCATAGTATTTGCTTGCCTCTTTCCTTAGGTAATTCAGAGATGACAGTAGTCACCCTATTATACTGAACAGCTTGGATGGTTAGTCAGAGGAAAATACTGGAGTATGTAAAAGGACTAAATCCTTGACTGGGAATAAATTGGTGTCCAGTGTGCTTGACCTACAAATTGGTCAGAACGATAATGTTGCTTACCATTCTCATTTTGAGTAATGACTTTGTCTGGGTTTAGAAATACCTCTGAAGGATCTAGATAACTGGAAATTAAAGACTGAAGATATTCAGATGGAGCTGCTGCTTCTTCTGGAGTGTTTCACACCAATGAACAAGCTTTTTCAGAAGAACTTGAATTTAGCTGGTAGTAAAGATTACCTGGTAAGATGGTCTCAGTTCTTCATTTGAAGTTATCAGAGCTAATTATAAGGATAATATGATTCAGAGTAACTTTAAATACTATTTTTTCCCAGCAAACAGTTTCTTAAAAATGCAAAGCAAAGTTGTATCAAGAGTAAATGTTATTTTTTATGTTTTTTCCTTTGGTGGATTATATGTTACTCAGTCAACTTTTCAAAAAATCAGTTACGCTGGTATGCTTTCTGTGTGACAGGCTGCAACTGAGCCTCATTATTCATACAATGTGTCTGTGTGATGTTACCAAATCAATTTGTGCTGCATCCATTTTGCACTTATGGGTAGTTCGCTCTCTCTTATGAGCAGAAATAGTCAGCTGGCAATAGTAGAAGACAGAGCAAAAAATGGATGCAGTCCACAACCTCTTTCTTTGTGGCAGTAGGTCCTTCTTTCATCCACTTTCATTTTTTCCCTTGTCTCATCAATATGTACAAAGCAGATGCTAAGTCAAAAAGCAGATACAGTCTTAGTTCTTTATAAATCAATCCTTTTACATTGTAACAGGCAGAAAGTTAAATGAGGGAAGGGAAAGGTCTCTATCTTGTCTGATTGGCAGAAAAGGGCCATGCCTAGCTGTAATTGCTTATTGGATCTAATTCTGTTCAAAGGCATTGACTTGGCAGGCCAGTCTTGCCAGAGCCCAGGCTGGTGTAAAAGAAAGCACAGAGTATTTCTTGTGTTGCAAAGATGCATGCAGTTCATCGCATGAATGAAGGAGCAACATGTTGTTACCAGCTCAGTAAATAAGGAGAAAAAGAAATCTAGAAGGTCCCACTTGCTGGCATATTGCAAGTGTTTAGGAATTGGGGAGTGCTTGCTCTGTGATAATTTCATATTCTTACTGTCTACTTCTGTTCCCTGATTTATCTTAGAAGCGTTTTTTCACGAGTTGGAAGTAAGATGGCAACCAGAAAGGACAGGATATGAAACCCATCAGAAAATGAAGTCAGAATGACTTCTGCAGTTATGGGAGTGCAGTTGGATGCAAATGCAGTTTCTGTTCCTCTCTGCCTTGTCTCTTGTTTGCTTTCCTGAAGTACACAGGCTCACTCACTGACCTTTGGCAGCTGATGCTGTAAATGTATCCACTGAGTGCAAATTCCACTGCCAGTTGTCACCCACCACTCTGATGCTTGGAGCTAATGCATTCCTTCTCTGGAGTAGGCTTCGCTGTCCCTCATTAAAAAGACAAAAAGGTTTTTCTTTTTTTCCCATCACTGCCTGATGAAACTTGTTCTCTGAAACTTAGTTTGATTTTATTTCTAATTCTCAGCTGTGCTAAATGCACTGGGAATTAAATTACAAAGCCGGTGTTACCTCATGTTCTGCAAACTAGTTCCCTGAGGCATTTCATCACTGTGCACACTTGAGACTTCACAGTGTTGCAGCAAGGCTGTAAAGTTCCTAAACAAAACATTATGCAGTTATTAAAAACAAAATAAAATAATAGTACAAAAAAAAAAAAAAAACAGGTTAAAAGGGAGAGAAACTCTTCCAGCCAGGTTTCTAGGCAGAACTGCCAAGTGCCACATATCCCTGGTGACATGCATTTGGCAAGTGTGTCCTGGAGTCCTGATGCAGCCTGCAGGGAGGCAGCAAGGATTCCCCTGCGATCTATCCTGCTCACCAGGCAGTGCTGTTCTCCCCGTTGGATCCCAGCCATCGTGTTAAAGCCACAGCTGGGGGTGCAGAGGGTGTAGAAGAGGGACATACACTGCTGGAGGGGTCCCTAGCCATGAGCAGGAAGGCAGCTGGAGTGGAGGTCAGCCCCCAGCATCACTTTTGGAGTGAAACAGTGCAGAAGCAGGCATGGAGAAAGAGGAGGAGGAGGTTGCTTTGGAGGCCTTTTGACCATTGAGCCCTTGCCCAGCTGAAACTGATCTCTGTCACAGCAAGTTCTAGTCCTTTATTAACATAATCTTATGCTCCAGCTTCTCTTTGCTCCTTTTATGTATTATGATCACCCATTAGTAAGGATCCTGGATTTTTTTTGTTATTTCTTGCATTAAATTCTCACCCACATTCTCCACTTGTATGAGGGGAATTCTGCCTGTTGTGAAGGGAGCTGACTTCTGTTATGTTTGGCTCTGTCTGCTCAGAATTTATTGAGAGAGGAAGAAAATAAAAAAATTGAGTTCTGTTTTTCAGCTGGTTTTCTTTGCATGAAAATAATCATTAAAAAATCAGATTCGGGTGGACTAAAGCTATTGATAAATTCATGTTCAATTCATTGAGTGGTTTTAGGGAAAACAGTTGCAAAAGGTGAAATGGTAATTTCGGCATTTAAAAGGAAAATTTAATTTTTGAAAAGTGTTAATTAAATTACAAGAGTTAAGCTTTTCCTGTGTCCCAAAACCAAAAGTTACTTGCACAGCAGTAATGCTTACGTGTTTATTCATCCTACGCACTGCAGCTAGTTCCTTCCAGCTGATTCCTGTGGTGACTGCTTCAGCAAGGAAATGGTCTTGTGTAAGCCCCTATATCTTCTGACTGTGTGAAGAGATTTGGGTGAAGTTCAGGTGGCAGAAACTACTCCTGGTGTTGGCAGGTCTCCTGCCTGTGCAGCTGCTCAAAATTTATTGCAGAAAACAAAACTGGGTGTTGAAATTGCAGGAATAGCAGATAAATCTGAAAGCTGGATGTACTGCTCATCTCATCTTCCTAATTAGATATTTATGTGGCCTCGTAGTATCCAAATGACTCAGTCATCACTGGTTATTTTCCCACAGCAGTGAAATACTGCTGTTTTTACCAAGGAAAAGCTGAGGTAGGACAACATAGAGGAAACCTGTTATTCAGCCAACATTGAACCACATTGTTCAGGTCACTGATCTACTGCTCCATGTCTTGTTTTCTTTCATGGAGGCCATCTACCTACCTTTTTGTTGCAGGCCATAATGGACAAGAATGAGTAATTTTAAGGAAATAATGCAGGTAGTCATAGGAGGGTCTAACTTTATTAATGCATCCTGCTCTTCCAGTGTCTCGAAATGCTTTGATGAACTCCACCTTCTCTATGTTAAAACTGTGCAGAAATTCACTTCTTTGCAGGAGAAGACAGGGTATGTGGGAGCCCCTGTGGTAGCAATCTCATGGTGGTGCTGTGACACTCTGTTCATCAGCTGATGGGTCCCAGAGTAATATGTAGTCAGGTGCCAGGTGGCTGGGAGGTGCAGTCCTCAGTGCATTCAAGTTCTTGATAAGAAGTCTGTAAGTGTGGGGAATGGCTTCTTTGCACTTTGTTAGTTGCTAAGTTAGAAGGGCAGAGTCTTAAAAGCTGTCTTCTGCCACTTACCTTTCCTGCTGGGAGCTCTGTTAAAGTCAAATGAGCTCTGCTCTGGAGAGTGCCATCTGGATGGGAAATAACACAGACTTGAGTTGTCAAAGCCTTAGACAAAAACAGAGAAGAGTGTGGAACTATTGTCTCCATCCTAAGATCAGGACACAGTATCTTACAGCCCCTGGCTGCAAATAGTGAAATAGTAGGACTCTAGACAGGTATTCTGCTGACTGAGTGTCAAGGAGCATGTTTGGTGTTGACTTGCAAAATCCTTCAGAGCAGGCTGGAAACAAAAATGAGAGCAGTTTCATAGATGCTGGTGAAACCCTGCCATCCCAATCCAAACCACCTCTGCAGAACGTTTATCAGTGATGTAAATCTAAGTCTTACTGACAGGGGGGATTTACAGTGCAAAAACCTAAGTTATTTCCTGAAGTTGTAAAAAAACAGCAATGAAGGCAACTCTTCTGCACTGACCCTCATGTGAGACTGCCTTTGGGTCATCAGTGGTTTGGTTAAGCTCATAGGTACATTTGTTTACACTGAGATTTTTACTATTTGTTCCAAGGGGATGTTTAAATTTTCTGCAGTCCTAATGGGTACTGAAAGGCCTGGGACGTGTCTTTTAGGTGAAGCATTGATTGCGTGCTGCTGCTGTTACGAACCTTGCAAGTAGCGCAACTTCATGCTCTACTTGTTCAACCTTCTTGGCTACATGGCATTTCTGGGAGGAGCTGGCTCTTCTGTCATCTGCAGTGTTGCTGTATATGCCCACTACCATATGCTGCTTTTCGGGGGGGGCGGGAAGCCTTTAGCCCAGAGACCAGTTTTTGGAGTTGAGGAGAGGGCTATGAACACTTTTACAGAAGAGGTCCTCCAGCATCTCAGTGGAGGCTGGGAACCAGGTGATAGACAGAGGAGCAAGATCCTGAGGTGGCTCAGGTTCTGGCAGTGGCCAGGCTTTGTAGGAGCATAGACAGTGCCCTTGACTACTGCTGTCAATCACATCAGCATAAACCAGCAGGCATCAACAAAGTTAATAAATGAAAAAAGCAGTGCAATCAAAAGTTGATTTAATTAAGTATGGGTTCTAATTACAGTGTTGTTCAGTGCCTTACTGGATTTCATATCAGAAGAGTAGTTGGAGTAATATATATATATATATGTGTGTGTATGTTTACCAAAGTAAAGTATAGGAGGTACATGTGCATATATGCATTAAAAATGGACTGAAAATCATGCTGGCAAAACAAAATTATGCAGGTGAAATGTACACACTAAAGACTCAAAACTGTAGGTTCTGCTTCAGTAAGTCAGTGTGGTCATCTATTATGAGAGCTGGGATGCCGATGTTAACTGAACCAAAATGTTGGTTTTACAGTTCATTAGCAGTCTTGGTGAAACGAGCAGCTCACACTGGGCCATCTGAAAAAGTTTCTTTTTCTAGAATGCTCTGAGCCCCAGCTACAGTGTTGAGGAGAGACAGCTGATCTTTTGTCAGTTGACATTTGTTCGAATGGAGGGAGTTTGGGGGTGGGAAAAAAGTATTTTCTCATTCAGTACTTGCACAGCATTCTGAGAGCAAGGGATGGTTATTGTTTCAAGAAAATTTCTATTTGGCCAAGACATAGAGTCTCCTGACACGTAGAGGATCTATAAACTAGGTCTGCAGTAAGCTCTTTCG